TGGGGTCTTCCTCTCCTATGCTGTCCTTCCACCCTTCCAAGCATAATGTCCTTCCCCAAGGACTGGTTCTTCATGGTCACCTGCTTGCTTCAAAATCCTAGCCTCCAAGGAGAAACTTGGTTTCACCTTCTCCAAGACAGGCTTATTTGTTTTCTTGGTGGTTCATGGTATATTTAAGACTCTTCTCTAGCACAACAACTCAAAGGCATCATTGATTCTTCTTTTGCCATCCTTAGTTCAGCTCTCTGATGCATAGCAAGGAATCGTGAAGACCACAGCCTGAATCAAGTGCACCTTAGTCTCTAAGTTGATATTGTGGCTTCTCAGCACTCTGGAGAGGTTCCTGACGGGAGATTTTCCCAATGCATTTCGTCTTTTGATTTCCTGACTACTAATCCAAGAGCATTGATTGTGGAACAAAGCAAGCTGTAATTGTTAACAATTTCAATCTCTTCTCCATGTATGATGGTGCTTCCAATTGGCCCAGTGATGAGACTCTTTATCTTCTTGGTGTTGAGCTTCAGTCCATATTGAAGATTTCAGTCCTTGACTTTCTGCAGCAAGTGCTTTGGGTCTTTTTCAGTTTCAGCAGCAGAGTTGTGTCATCTGTATAAGAGAGGACATTGAATAGGAAAGATGGAATCTTAAAAATTGTAATGGGGACACATGGGCAGATTCTGGTGAAGCTGGGGACATGGAGCCTGTGTGAATTCTTCTGAATCTTCTTGCCTACTACCTCAATCATCTAATTCTGCTATAATAGAGACACCACATTCTATTTCCACCTGAAGAAACAGAAAGTCATTCTCTTAGAGCTTATGAGGCTAGAAGTACCAATTCAGGGTAGAACTCTAGAAGTCTTTTCCTCTTTGTGAAGGTCTTTGTTACCTTCAGTACCTGCAAGTTTGACATTCTTTGACGATATCCATATGTCTTGGCCTTCCCTTGTACTGAAGTTTCCCACACAGGGACCTGAGTCCAAAGAACATACTTCACTTTCCCTTGTCCCGTCTTGGTGGTAAGGAGGCCCCCATTCATTCTCTACTCTCTTTTATCTCCTATGAGGGAAAAAAAGTGATACAGACTACACTCCAGAGAAACTCCCCTCACATTGGATCAAATTTATGATAAGATTAACGCAGCAACAGACCCTAACCCCTTTACAACTGATTGGCTGATCGTATCATGGAGGGGATAACTGCCTTAAAAATTGCCTCCTTAGTTTATAACACATGCAATAACTATACTGAGAAGCAAGACAGAGCAAAATTGTCACATAATTTGAAGAGGATACAATTTAATCCAATAGCCTTTTCAGTCCTGTCAGCAGTTAACCCTGCTTTCCTTGAACAGTTTGTAATAGGTGACTTGGGGAAATTGCTTTGTAAGACAACACTAATTCTCCTCAGGATTCAGCAACATCAGCTCTTTTCACTTCCAGATCGGTGACTAAGCTCATATTAACAATGACAGAAAATATACACTGGATGAAAAACTCTGGCATCTGGCTTCAAATGGACTCCTGACATGCTGTGACGTGAAGTAAGAGAAAACCCAGCAATTTTGGGTTATTGTTGTTATGTACAGTCCAATCAGAACTGACTTATCACTGACTCTCCACTGGTTTTCAGAAATAGTAAATCGCAAGTGAAGAGATAACCTATCTTTCTCCCTCTGAGCCATTGGTGGAATTGAACAGTATGTATGGGAGTTGGCAGTGTAACTTTTTACACTCTAGACCACCAGAACTCTTGAAAGTATTATAATTATTTCTTTTTTAGAGCTCTGTCTGCTTTCATTACCTCCACTAGCCAGGGACCTTCCTGAGTGGGGAAAAAATAGGGAACTATCTCTTTGTTAGAGGAAGTTTGTTCAGCTGAAAGGTGGTTAGATTTGGGCATCTATATACAGAATTTAGCTTTAGGTTACCAATAACTGAATTTTCTAGCTTTCCAATAAAATTCAAGTTAAAAGTGGGGGTAATATTGGTGAGGACAGTGCTGAACTATGATGGAAATAGTTGACACTTTTCCAAAAGTCTGAAAATTCACAATCCACTGACTTAATTTTCAACCAGTCAAGTTCCCTGCATGGGCAGAGATTACCTAGCTTGACCTAGCTCATCTCTGGTTCTCATTTTAAAAGCAGAAGTTTAAGAAGCTATAATCTTGTCTAATCTGGGCTTTTGCTTTAAACCATTAAAGATATGGAGAGTGAGAGTAGTATGTGGTCACCAAGCCAGTCCAACTCAAACCCAGTTACTGAAGCAGGGACTTTCTGCCATGGTTTTAAATGTCAAGTCAGGCAAAGGAGGAAGGTGGCCTTTTGTCAGAAGGTTCAAGAAAGATAATGAGTGTAGCCCAAGATCAAGGTATTAGGGAGCTTACTATCTTGCCAGTGAATGAGTAAGAACAAAGAATTAATGCCTTTGAATTGTGATGCTGGTAAAGAGTACTGACTGTATCATGGACTGTCAAAAAGGACTTACAAGTCTATCTCGGAGGAAGTGTACCAGCGTGCTTCTTAGAGATTCACCTCTAAGATGGTGCAATTTGATCTCTTATACTTTGAGAATGTTATCAGGAGGGGCCAGTCCTTGGAAAAAGACATCATACAAAAAAGGTAGATGATCATCAAAAGAGAGGACGGCCCTCAACAAAACGGATTGACACAGTGAATGTAATGGAAATTGTAAGGACGGCACAAGATAGGTCCGGATTCTGATCTGTTGTTAGGTCATGGTGAGTTATTGTCGACTCAATAGCACATAAAAACAACAACCATCACCTTGCTGTCTATTACCAACTTGACCTCTTCATGTTATCAAACATTTGTAGTGAAGAGTCAAACCAAGCACATAGTGTATTTATGAAAATTCTATTAAAACTGAGTATTTAAATAAATGTTAGGGAACATACCTGAGAAATTAGACTGATTAATGAATATTAGTGTATTTACTCTTACATAAGGACTCTTGGTGGGACAGTTTGTTTCATATTGGGCTACAAACCAAAAGGTTAGTTGCTCTATGAGAGAAAAATGAGGTTGTTTATTCCCACAAAAACCTGACAGAGGGTTGCCATGGGCTAGGATCATCTTGAAAGCTGTGGATTTTCCTTTCACTTTTCAACTATCTTTTTATCCAACATGTTACATTTATGATACTTGTAAAAGTCTACTCTCCAAGTATTTTGTGCATTAATATCAGATGTCTGGAAGCAATGAATGCTGAGGTTCAAGGTGAGAGTAACCTTTGCTGTAATTATTTAGGTTATGTATCAGCTTGACTGCTGCCATGATTCTCAGATGTTTGGCAATTATGTAACAGTCTCATTTGATAATAATGCTAGTCACCCTACCTTTAAAAATCTGATACAGTTGTTATGTACCACAGAATCAGAACCGACCCATAGCTGACCCTCTGGTGGGTTTTCAGATGAACAGGAGGAAATTGCCTATCCTTCTCCTTGGAGCATCTGGTGGCTTCAAACTGCATGCCTTTGCAGCACAGCTTCTTGCCAGAGCTCTTAATCTGATTTCGTAGTTATGTTCTATTTTCACATACTATCAATGTTCACATAATGGTCTAGTCTTTGTAACTTAGCCATTTTGATTAGTAGGGGTGGGAAGGGGTGTAGGTACATCAGTTTTAAAAAGAATGAAATAAATATAGCAATGCCTTAAATTACTCTTGGGCAGATCTAGTGTCTGACACATTCTACCTCAATGAGTTTGTTCAAGAGAGCACAATTGTGTATTTGGAAGTTTATGTCCATATTATCTTTACAACATGAAAAAAAGTTGTTGTTGTTGTTGTTTAATGCCATCGTGTCATAGACGACTCATAGCGACCGTATGAACGAGCAGCCTGAACACTGTTCGTACCTAGAGTTTCCCGAGGCAAGCCATTTTGGAAGTGGATGTGGCTCCTGCTTCCAGGCTTGATTTAGTCGGGAAGCTCCAGCCAACACGTTCACCATGGGTGCCCATTACCACGATTGGCATATCACTGTCACAGGCTTCAGCATCACAGCAACCACGAGTTACCTCTGTACAGCAACGCACATACCAGTGCTATACCACCTAGAAGAATGTTTGACAGGAAGACAATTTGAACCTGGCCGAGGGCCACAGGCCCGAGTGCCCTTTGGGCTTAAGGTCACCTCTTGGTTCAAAACCTAGGCCCAGGCTGTCTAGCCTCACTCCAGGGACATAGCAAAGCTGCACATCAAACACATTCCCGGAAAAGCAGTCCACTCCAAACGCTTGCCACGCTTCCTGCACTCCCACCACCACGCTCCTGCCTTCTGGCAAGGAGAGCTTCTCACAAGCCTGGGAAGGTGCCAGTCAAACCAGGAACAACATGGCCACCTCCTTCCCGGCTGCCTTGGGCTTAAGGCCACCTCCTGTAAAGTAGCAACTGTAATCCTTGGGATTAGTCAAATGTCATCTAAGCAAGTAGCTGAGAATTTCTGTTTGGCATTTTTCACTAAGAGACAGAGCATCTGGAGCCATAAGGTGGCATCCAAATTTCTGCGACTCAAGAAGAGGAGAGAGTGCCATATTTATTTCTCAATAACCACAAGGAAGTGACAAAATTTCAGTGATATGATAAATACTTAAGTGTTTAATGCAATAAGCTTTTCCCTACTAAAAGCTACCCATACCCAAGCAGGAGTGAAATCTCTGCATGAGAATTAATATTGTTGTATACCATTGAGTTGAAACCAAGCCATGGCTGACCCTTCAATGGGTTTTCAGAAGTAGTCAATTTCCCAGGAGGAAATTGCCCATCCTTCTCTTGTGGAGGAGCTGGTGGGTTTGAACTGCTTGCCTTTGGTATGACAGCACAGCCCCTTACCACAACACCACCAGTGGTTCACAAAATGTTCATCTTCCCTTCTGTGCAACTTTATGAGATAGCCACACACCAGGAAGTCCAGCCAGACAGAGGAATCCTTCCTTCCCCCTACTGTTGCTGTCTAGGAGGGCAGGCTCACCTCATTGTCTTGATGATTAATCTCACTGAAGTTTGACTGTTGTAGCAGGACTGTAAGGAGCCTGTAAGGAGAAACAAGATAAACACCTCAAAAAATCAGACTGTAACAGAGTTCTTAGAATTTTTATGAGAATACTAAAAATGCAAGTCTGTTGATGACCGAATTGGCCCTCTAACTGAAGGTGAGGACTTTTTTTAGTCAAGAAAAAGTTTCATGGGCAAGATGCCAGCATGATAGGGTAGGGAGCCTCTGTGAGGAATGGCTTTGTCTTTGCTCACATTTTGTCCATCTCAGTGCTGCGGGTATGGGGTGGCACTAAACTGAACAGAGCACAGAAATTTGTACTTATATCTTATTCACCACTTAAAAACCCTCAGAAGAAACTTGCCTATTTTCTTCCTCAATGTAGTCAGTGGATTCAACTTATGAGAGAAGCATGATGTTAGCAGCTCAACTCCCTAAAGAACGCATCACCACAGCTCCCTTCTAACTCACCAGACCTGTATAAA